GCTAGGAATATACTTTCTTTAATAGGTGCTATTCAAATTTTATATTTCCTCCAGAGTCAGTTTCATTAATTTGTCTTCTAAGGAACTTCTTAGAAGTTGTCAAATTTATTTCAAAACAGATTTTTGAAATATGCTTTCAGTCATTTCTATCGCTCATTTATCATGTCATCATCTATCTGTCATGAATCTATCATTTATTATCTATCTATTCCCTGTCATCTGTCTACTATCTATCTATCTATCTATCTATCTATCAGTCAATTGGTCATCTACCTATCGGTCATCTACCTCTGTACCTGTATGCGCCCTGTTCGTCCCCTGCACTTCTTCAGACAGGTCTGCACATACACAGCTAGGCATGCATGTATGTATGGAGTATATATACTTACCTATAAGGAACTGGCAGACAATCACGGAGGTCAACGAGTCCCAGGATCTCTGGTCAGCAGTGTGGACTCAGGAAGGCCAACGGTGTCCTTCAGTCCAACTCTCAGACCCGAGAGCCCGCGGAGCTAGCGATGTCATTCTAGACCTGGGGAAGGGGCCGCCCGCTCCAGCCAAGGCCTGTGGCTGTCTATCTGTGGATACAGGAAGCAGCTGGTCCTTACCTAAGGGATAAAGCCCACTGCAGGCACTGCCTTGGGAAACACTGCTGCAGAGCTGCACTTCTGGGTCACAGGCTTGTCAGCGCGACGCTCGCTTGTCAGTATCGCTGCCCGCACTGTCTACCGATCCTCGAACTCCTCTCCTTGTTCCCTGATGAGACGCAGCCCACCTTCCCATCGCCTCCGTCCTTCGGGGTTCCTCTCCCTACCTCACCCAGGCAGCACCAGGGTCCTGTGAAACCTCACGTTCTCTGGCTCTCATCTCTGGGACTCTCCCCATTCCACCCCTCTCCCTCCACTGCCCTTTCCTGAAGCCCCTGCCTGGGGCTTGCATGCCAGCCCTGCTGTCAGAAGTGGCTCTCTGCACCTCCTCCTGGGTGCAACCCAGCTCCCCAGTCCCTGGGGGCACGGCCCAGCAGGGGCTCTGCCTGCTAACAGCTCTGCCCTCCTCCGGGTGTCCCTGCACCTTCCCCTCCATCCTCAGGTGTCCTGTCATGAGCCGACCTGGATGGGACACCTTGCCCGACCGTCCCTGGGCGCTGAGGGACTCCAGCCCCCAACGGCTCCTCGGTAATTACACAAACACCTGGGGCCAGTCCCGGGCAGGAGCCTCCCCTGCCTCAGAAGGGACCTTACACATGTCACCTCTGCCTGCCGCCCCCCGTCCCGGGCACACAGCTGCACGGGGCCCGAGGGTGTAGCCAGGAGGCTGTGGTAAAGAAAAGTAGAGTCCACAAGGCCGAGGAGGCAGTCCTGGCCACCCCCCGCAGAGAGAGACAGAATGAAAGGTCCCAGAGTGAGGGGGCCGAACCGGGCCCTGAGCCACAATGACAGGAGCATCCCCTTCGAAACAACTCGCTGCTGCATTAGCCACAGCCAGGCCGGTCCGGAAGTAACGCAACCCTGGGCCTCTCTTTCAGGCAGCCCTGTGCCCCTGCCCACCCTCTCTCACCCCTCCCAGCCCCGTGAAGTTTCTTAAACCCCGAGCTTGATTTGCTTGGAAACTTGTGTCTTTGCAAGAGGCAGAGGCTTACTGTCCTGCAGGAAAATGAGCACAGGGAGTGAGTGTGTGCGCGTGTGCGAGTGTGCGCTCCCCTGTGCATAAAGACTGGACAAATTAACCAGGGACGCTTTCGTCCAGGCCTAGAGCGGTAGCTGGGGCTAGAAGCATCAGCCTGCACTCAAGGCTGCCTCACCTCAGTTTGGTTATTTCAGGGCTACCTGAGACCGCACTTGTGCCCTGAATTTCTGATTTAGCTTCAGATTGTGCAGAAATGATTGTTGTTGTGAAACCACCATTAGATCCACAAGTCCTTGAGCACAGAAATGCACCCGTGAGCACACCCAGCAGTGGAATGGCAGGGGCTGCTCCCCAACCACCAGCTCAACCCCTCCAGGCCACACCAACCTCAGCTGGCTCCAGAGCAGCCTTGTCCACTGGCTTACACAATCCCCTCCAGGGCCTGCCACCTTCTGTGTCTCCTCTAGACCAGGGCGGGGCTGAGGCCTCCTGAGTAATTGTTGCCAAAATTGCATGATTTACACAGAACTCTGAGTCCAACAGCCCTGCTCTCCGGTGGATGCCTCATCCGGAGCCCTCCCCCAGCTCCCAGGCTCTGAGAATCCCCAGGAGGAGGAGACCCTGGCCAGGGGCCCCGTGGCACCTGCCCTCTCCATGCCCTCGATGTGCACACTCAGAACCAGCCCCAACCGTGCCCAGCACCTGCCAGGCCCATTCTCAGGGGCTTCAGAGAAGCCGAAAACAGCTCCTCATCAGAGAGCACGCCAGCCCCTACCTGGACACGGAATCTCTGAGAATGGTCTTTCAGCTCCAAAGCCCCCATGTTGAGCAAGGCTGCAAAGGGCACCGCTCGCCTTTGATGGCCATGCTTAGAGCAGTGGTATTACCCTTTGCTGGGTCAGAGATCCCTCTGGAAATCTAATGAAAGCTCTGAAGCACATACCATAAAAATACACAATGCTCAATGGAAAAGTCGCTGCGATTACAGGGCTGTGGGAGCCCTGATATCACACAGAGACCCCTGAGCAGGATGTCCATATCCAGGCGCCCTTCCCAAGACTCCAAAGGCTCTCTGGGAGCACTGCTCCTTCCGGCCTCATTTCTGAATATGTTTACTTTCCCCTATTTCTCAGGGAATGGGCTCCACCCATCCATCCATCCAGGGCTGTTGTTCAATAAGTACTTGTGGTTTTGGCTGAATTGTTCTTATAAAGCCAGCATCCACTCTGATCAGCAGGTACCCACGACCCATAGTGTAGCTTGACTCTTATCCCCATATTCACCCACCTGCAAACTCTTCCACTAAACCATTTCTTCATTGCTACTGAGTACCCACTCATCTATTCATGCATTCCCTGACTCATTTTTGC